ACTGATTTGAATCTTTAACCTTACGAGACATCTTATAATTTTTTATCATAATATTAAGGGGAAACTTTTATTTCATTTAGAAGGTTAAAACGACCTAGTGGTCTTAGAGTCTAAGTAATTTTATCCGGGCAATTACCAATATTAATAGAAAAAGGTCCTCTGACCCAGCCAATCTTTATCTAGTAATAATTCTGCCTAAATTATAACATAAATTACAGTATCTCTCTGTGTTTAAGCCGGAGACGACTAAGGAATAGTGGTTCCTGTGGTCGCTTGTATTGCTGGTGTCACCTGTTTATTTGCTGTTCTTTTCACTATCATTATCTGGCAACGTGTCAGGCCACAGCCTCGCAACGAAAATCCACCGCCTCACATCGATCATATTGGAAACCATCTTTTGGATGAAAAGGATTCATTTGATTATGGTGCAGTTGGCGGAAATGATGGCACTAAAAACCCCTTCTCCAGTGCAAGTGAACCCACACCGGGAAGTGGGTCGTCAAGTTTAACTTAACCCACGTCAACGAACTCATCATCTTGTAGTGATATCAAAGTGTCTTCTAAAGAGAATTCTAGAAGCAGCAACAGGTCATATGTCTGTTGAAGACGCCACGATCACGTGTTTAGCAGATCACTGTTTAGACTATAGGAGATCATTTGGTTCCTCGCGAGCTGGAGGAAATGATTTGATGGCAATGAAATTGAATTAACCGTTTGAAAGGGGTATTTAAAACATAGCTCCAAGTGAAACTTTTAAAATCGCTTTCAACCACGAGGAAATGCAAGACCAGTTTATTTGTCCACCGAGAAACAAATGCAAGGTGAGGATGATATTTATTTGCGTGAAAGTCTAATAAATATGGACGGAAGAATGGAATTTGCTTCATCAGTCTCTTTAGGGGAAAATAAATTTTGACTCTAGAAGAAGATTCAATAACATTTGAAAGTCAAGAATGGAAAGGAAAAAAAATCGAATGAAAGAACAAAGAGGAACCCTCCTCTGCTTCTCCCTCCTTGATGGATCAATAGTCACAGTGGTTTCTCAAACCCACACTTTTATCCTCTGTTGTATTTTGAAGTTACGAAAGGGATAGAGGTTTTGTAATGACGTACAGAATAATTTAAGTTCAAAACTTGCACGTATTTTACTTAAACTCTTTCAAATGACCAACTGTATTTCTAAGATCTCTCAAAAAGAAATGAGTAAATAATATTTTTGCGCAGTCGTTCGTGGATAATTCTGATGGTAAGAATCCTTTCTGGAATAACCCCCAAAATGGCGTCTTTAACAGCAACTTGCCTGCTTATCAAAAATCACTCCTGTGGTACTGATATCCTCGCACTAAAGCAAAACCATGCATATACGTCTGTGTCCTTTTGGTGAAGCCCACTGTTCTTCTTAAGCTCACACGGTACTTATATTTGGATTTTTGGATCAATTTTGGTATCTGAGCAAATTCGTACCTACCCCTCCCCTAACCTAAGGTTAACCCTAACTTGTTACCAGTTAGACTGACTGCTTTGGACGAACAACAACTTTATTTATTTATTTTTTTTCACCCCAAAATATACAAGAAAGAAAAATTTATAATAATAGTACAGAAAATGATAGGGGCGCAGCCAGTTGAAAGAAAAGATGTTTAAATGTTTAGGTCAGGGATACAAAAACAAAGAGATACAGAAACGCACACAAAGGTAAACTACCAGTATATTAAAGAGACTAAAATTCATACATTGCAAAACAGTATTATTTCCATTTTAAAGTTACACAGACAATACAGATGTCTAGTAATCTTTGATAAATTGCTGCTTTACTTTCTTTTTAAACAAAGACAATGAAGATAATTTTATATCTTCGTCAATGGAATTCCATACTGATGGACCTTGAAATCTGATATTGAATATATAATAATTTGTTCTTGCTTTTGGAAGATAATAAGACTGTTTTGCACCAAGCCTTGTATTATAGGTATGGATTTGCGAAATTTTACTAAAAAAAGAACTAAAGACTGATGGCAATAATTGATTATGATATTTATACATAAAGATTGCTAAATGAAAAGTTACTAGGTCTAGGAATTTTATAATTTGAAGAGATTTAAATAAAGGACTAGAGTGCTCATCAAATCTAGAAAAGGTAATTAATCGCATAGCTCTTTTTTGTAAAATGAAAATTGGTTGAAGAGTGGTCTTATAGGTATTTCCCCAGATAATCATTCCATAGGTCAAAAAGGATTTATAGGTGCATAATATAAGCTTAATAAAATATCTAGGCCAACATAATAACGAAGTTTAGAGAGGAAACCAGTGCTTCTTCTAATTTTCTTAACAATGCAATCAACATGGTGTTTCCAATTCAAGTGTGAATCAATTAGGATGCCCAGATACCTTATACAGAACTCTCGCTTAAGTTCCTTATTACCTATAGCCAGCATGAAATTTTGGCATTCAAGTTTCTTTTGAGGTGCGTGGAAAATTGCAAAATTTGACTTTTCTACATTGAACATTTGAACAGGGTTCAAATTCCTGAAAATACTTTCTAACTTAAATGGATGACTATCTACGAGGTAAGACAAAATAACAGCTTTTTAAATTGCAAGTGGCGTTGTCCTTCGTCATTTAATTACTTGTCAGAAAATGGCAATCAATTTAATAATCACTGGTAAATATAAAAGCATTTTCCTACTTTGAAACATACTGATAACTAACAAGGGAAAAGAGGCCTTTGGAGGAAAATATTTTTGCTCTTAATCACTCTGAACATACTCTACGCAGTTGTTTTTAAGTGGTGCAATAGTTCGACTTCTTGGATGGCGAATTTCAGCCACTGTATGATCTAAGTAACTATTGATTAGCTTCAATGGATCAGAGTGTTGATGAGGAAGATTTCCTCTGTGGTGCGGTTATCAGTGGTCGCCAACTCCCTAGCCCTTCCAAATATTAATGAGAAATGACTGGGGACTAGTCTGATGGAGAAAACGTATTGCCCCCGACAGATCACTTTTGAGTGAACAACAAAGCTTTGCCAATCACCGCATTTTCTAACTGGCCGACAAGACTGACCGAACGGTCTAACGGATGTCAAAAGTCTGGCGAACAGATATACAGCTTGCTTTCTAAGCCACATCGTATTTGAAGGTAACTGAAGTTTCCTGTGTTCCGCCTGACATGCAACGATCAAGGGCTGACTTAACACACTCTAGTTTCGATAAAAAAAAAACACTATTTGATTGACGCAATTTTTCTTTTAGAAATTTGAGAGAAAAAAAGCAAGGGATACCTGCGATTGTGTCTGAGGAAGCGCTTTTTTACCGTTTCTTGATTAATCCGAAAGCGAAAGCTCAGGGTGCGCCGGAACTATATAGCTAAGTCCTATCACAATACTTGTCATTTTCACAGCATACAACAACATATAAAGGAAATATAATCGGTATCTCAAGCTTAGATAAAGATAGACTTTTTACTTTCAAAAAACATCGAAATTTTTGCAGTTAGTCGACGAATATCTTCGGCACTATTGTTTTCAATTGTTAGAGCTTATCATGTGTCACGGGGAATCCCCTAAATTCTTAGATTAGAAAGAGATTTCGTCATCTTCAATTGTCTTCTTCAGATATCCACGGCGGAAAGATGCGTTTGTTCATCAGTTTGTTGTGCGCTACAATTCTGCATACTTTTGTCCAATACGGAAACTGTGATGCAAGCTCTTCTACCAGTGGTCAAGAATGCTTTCTTGTACCCAATACGACCTGCGCTTGGGAAGATAGAGATGGGAATATCTTTAATTTAGCCCCATTGACAAGGTAAGCAAAACAAGATAAACTCAACGAAAAACAGGATATATCCATGAAATGATCTTAAGATGTTGATTAATTCATAGTAAGGGCTATCATCCGTGTCCGAGTTTTCCACTCGAGCGCGGTTCCAAGAAAGAGAATTTAAAGTGAAATTCGTGGAACTTCGATATTAACTCTTTGTAGACTACTGCGTTCAATTTAAGGCACACGATGTTCCTTCTCCGCCTCATATCAGAGGAAAAGAGGCGTAGCTCAGTTTCACAAGCTCTTTCCAGAGTTCAGAGGACTCATTCACTCACATTTATTGCAAGCAAGCTTCTGTCGTAACAGAATGATATTTAAAACATGCGATCAAAACAGTCTTCCTAGGTAATTTAGCAGCAACATTTTTACAGCAAAATGGTAATTGCATATAGGCTAAAAAACTAATCAAAAGTATATTTTCGAATAAATCTGCTGTGTCTCACAAGTCTAGCGTGACATATGTATATGTATTTTTCACTTTTTATTTAGTAGCCATAGTGAATCTGATGATTGACATGGAGCAGACAAGAAATTGATAAAATTGAACTTTCGATCTCTGAAGAAAAGCAAAGAACACCATTGACAGAATGTGATAGAAGGCCGCGGAAAAAAACTTTCGAAAGGCGATCCTTTCAGCAGGGAGAGTGTAGGGAGTCTGCAATAATATCAGTTGTGATTATAGTTGAGAGCGTTGGTTGATGTATCTGTGTATCTGTTAGTAGTTCCCTACACTCCATAATGATGCTATGGTCGAACTTGTATTTTGCGGCACCTATTACGCGGTCGCCTCTATAAGCAGTCAGTGATCACCCTTTACAAAGTCCCAACGGCCTGTTTGTATTGTTCTCCACCTGTAGAGAAGGGTCACGCGAAGCGCAACCACTCAAATAAAACTTAGAATAATCTTTCAAGTAAAACTTTTTCCATCCTTATATCCCAAAATCAATGTGAGTAGTATTTTAGAGCTAGTTTTTGCACTTTAAGTGGTCAGTTATGGCAAAACACGACGTCTTAAATTGCTTTTTAGAATGCTCCTATCCTGTGGAATCTGTATTAGGCGGTCATCTCGTCATTCCTCGTGGTTGACCGCTTAAGACAGGTTCGACTGTATTAGACTATAATTACAATTGAGTAACTCGGTGCCATGCTTTTCTTTGATCAATCATCACTTCGTAACCAATGCTTTCTCATGGACATTTCCTTAGAGGCTTCGTCGCAAATGGTACACCTCATGGAAAATACGATCAATACTATTCGTACGCGTACAACCCATGCAGATGGATCAGTTTAGCCGGTGAATGTGATCGGGATAAAGAAACAGCAGTAAGTAATGGTCTAATTATTTCTGCAGTCATAGAAACGAAGCTCGATGTTTTTGGCGGTTTTGTTGTACTTGAGAAATCTGGCTATTTAAGCTTAATTTGTGAACAGCAACTCAGCATTGTGCATTGGAACACGCAAGAGGACTTACTTGTTATCAACAGACGTAAAAACTTAGGGATGCATGGCCATCGTATTATGCAGGTGATCAACAACTCTTAAAAAAACACCTGAGTTCGATAATGGAAAGACTCGCCAATTAAGTAGGGCAGTTAATTTTTTCCAGTATACTTTGTTTTCTGTCGCTGTAAAAGTTGTTTTCCCCGAAATAAGTTAAAGTTATTCGGAAAGCAAAATGATTTTCGTCTTAGAATAAGATCTATGATATCTTTTTGTGTAGTATCAGGTATGAATTGGGTAACCGTGATCTTTTGAGAGCACAGACTGCGAATATAGCAAGCGATTAAATAAAATAGCACGGTTACCACCCTTTATAATTTTGTGTTTGCATACCGGAATCTTGTGTGTGGCTGGTCTTAAACATCAGAGTAACTTTGAATTTGTTGGTGGCCCTGTGGCAACAGTCGCACTATTTCTATTATCTTTCAGATATGTAGGTGGACTCCAAACAACGATAATCCTGACAATTATCAATCAATTGGAAATAAAATGCCAAAATGTACCAAAGTGAGCAATTTTATTCAACTGACCTACAAAGCAGGGGGACGGTATGTGTACTTGTACGCTCTTAATTATGACTAGGCTTAGCAATAAAAATTAAGTAAAACTCTGGGCCAGTGTTCTTATGAGCACATACAAGTTAACTAAGGTGCGGGTTCTTATTTAGTGGTGGGCACATACGCTAACTCGAAAAACAAATGAATTTTACCACAGGGAAACACATGGAAGCAGAAAATTAACAATTAGCACGAAGGAACAATCTACCATTCTCGAAAAATGCTGTGAAGAGCTGTACTGCTTGATCTATAGGATATCTTTTTTTTTATCAGAAACCAAAGCCTAAAGAAAAAACAGAATTTTTTTCTATTAGAAGACACTAACTTCCTAATTTATCTTCTTTTAGGCATCTTCAGAGTCTAAAGTCCATTGTCAATGTGAAGTGCGATCGGACCAAAGTAGACATCAAGGATGCAACCTTTAAAGTAAACAATGAAGATTACTGGGTTAGTGACTTTTTTACACAATTTATCTATTCAGATTGACATGAAAAAATAATAGTAAAAATAAAATGTAATGTTCTCGTCAGCCGATTGGATTGAAAGAGTACGAGTCGCTCATAAATATTACTCCCTTGTCAATGCACAGTGCAACTGGACCAAAGTAGACGTCAAAGATTAGCAGTATTGCTGTCGAAGTATCGCGATTTTCTTTTAAAAGAAACTCTACAGTTGATTTACTCTTTATCGTGAGACGAATTATTAAAGATTCTCTAACCAAGATAAAGCTTTGCGAAAAACACGGGAAAAACTTCTCTTAATTCTTTTGTTATGAGTTTTTTAAGACATACAAAGTCTACTAAGAGTTGTGCAAAAGATGGTTGAAATATATCTGCCTTTTGCATCCTGCTTCATAAATTTACATGGAATTCGTTCATGGCTTTAGCGACTTTCTTTGGATGTCAACATTTCTAACACAAGTCTTGTTGAAACCATGATGAGACTCTTGAAATTTTCCCCTTGTACCTTTTCGTACTCTAGAAATTTGAGCTGGATCACTTGTGCGGTTGTGAGAATGCTTGTGTTTCTGGGACTTCCCTTAGCCTAGCAGCGGAGGAACATTGTAAGTTAACTGAAAGTCAAACAGTACTTTCCTTATCGCAGGAATGATGATTAGGAGGAAAAGTCGAGAATAAAAAATAAAGAATAAATAGGTGTGATGGACCTGACACTCAGTACCACCAAATAATGCTTTGTTGCCCCCACAGAATTCGTACAACATCAATAATATCATTAAGTTGATGGAAGGGCGCTCAATTGCTCCGCAAAAACTCTTTCTCTTCTTATGATGTTCTCGTTCAAGAAATATTTGTCAATTGAAAAATAACATCTTCTGGTTCCTCTTTAATTTGTGCAGCGCACATTGTGGAAATTGTGGCTCCAACCGCTGGGGTGATTGTACTGGTGGTCCTTGCAGGGCTTTTTTTATGGTGGAGAAATAGGGGGAACAACCAAGATGATGAAGAGAGGCGACCATTGCAACAGGACGGCCCAGGCCAGGACGGTGCCCATAGAATCCCCGATGCACCCCCTGAAAACATGGAAAGGAGGCCACCATCCGTTGCTCTACCACGAAGCAAAAACAACAACCTTAGCTTAACTATTTGAGTACCTATTGTTAAGGGAAAGGGAACCTTCTAATAGCATGTATTTTTTGATATTATTATTGGTATTACCTGTCAAGTTGGTTTTGTTGGTAGTTTTTGTGTTTTAAGTAATTTTTGTATTCATGACCAGCTTTGCGTCGGAAAAAATAAATAATTATGTAAATTGGCTGGCTGCACATTCAATGAAGATGACAGTAAATCATTAACACAAAGTCCAGGAATAGTCCTGGCCAAATTTGATAGATAATATAACAGGAATAATTTAAAACACGTATAAGAAGAAGAAAATAAAAAAATTGACTAAAAAGCGGCACCGGGAAAGCTGATTACACCTCTATGATCATAGGCCTGTTTATGGCTAACTCAGAAAAACTCTTCTTTATACAGGTCATGGTTTTGAACTTTTAAAGTCCAGAAACTGTTGATTAGATAATCCAGAGAATACATATTGCT